GTGTCAGGGTGAACAGAAAATCGAATTCTACATTTAGCAACCTCGCGCGGTCTGCCTGCCATCGACTCGGCGCTCTTGGATCAATATTTGCGACAATTGAACATGCCGTCCTGCGGGAGGAAAGTCGTGTACCGCCATAAAAAAATAGAGAGAGGAGCGAGCGTGGATACCGTTCCCAGTGTCGCCTTGATGTTCACCATCCGTTCCTATCTCTGCCTGGCACCTTGCATCATCCGGTCCAAAACACGCGGATGTCTTTCGTGGTCACAGACCAGCTACCCAGATTTTGGGCACGCACAATGCACTCGATAGTCAGAAGAGAAAGCCAAAACGGCCCAGGTCTTGGCATAGACCTAAACACATGAATAAAATATTGAAGGTCTCAGTCAGACATATCAGGCGGAGGAGGGGAATAAGTAAGAACATTCTCGTTCGATAGGCGGTGCCAAACCCTTTCACTCATCCAGACAACATTAAAAGTGCACGATTTTGATCTATTCCTCCTACATTCACCGCTGGGGTTGCCACTGCCATGCCACTTGCGGTGGTTCTAGTCATCCACTTCACTCAGCTGTCGACCAACAGGCGACTCAGATGGTGTACAAAGATCAGGTTACAAGAAGCATAGAACGTAAAAGAACAAACAGGGGGAGCGGCGTGCAGCACCTAGATCACGGCGTACCATATGCATAAATGGTGGACGGGGACAAAACACAACCTCGTACCGAGAACACACTGCAAATAAGACGTTGTAACCAGCACCTGCACCCTGCCTGCATACCCTACCCAGTCCGGTAAACTGATGCAAAACCTTCCATAGAACATTTCCATTTTTTGGTCATAGGCCAACTACCCAACTAGGGTAAACACAAAGCGTCAATCAAGGAGAACACCAGAAAAATATAACAATCGCGACAACAAACCACAACCAGGGGCGTAGAGAGACAAAAATAAACTTGTCCTAGTGAATTGCTTGTAGCCCCAACCCCCACCGCAAAAAATGTGGCGAACACCGACCAGTACTTGGATTTCATAGTGTAATATTATGTAACGGTGCCTTCCATGAAGTGAATCAGTCGAATCCCTAAGAATGCAGTCTAAAACACAGAGGAAGAAAGCCACGATTCTAAGGACGTGCAGTACGGCTCCTCCAGCAAACCCACTCCGAGCGTGAAACAACCAAGCCGGTTTGGCATGCAGTTCTCAGGCTGAACGAAAACACGCGCGTTAAAGAAAAGAAATTCACGCACACCAAACTAAAACAAGCGCCACGTGCACTTTAGTCAGTCGTGGCGTGTCTGAGCCACCGAATGTCGTTCTTCGATCTACGGAATTCAACGTGCGCCATGAGTGCGTTCTTCAACTCCTCATGGGCTGCTTCCGGGGTCGTGGTGGTGCCGTCATCGTCCGCCGGGGTGGGGCTGGTGGACCCCACAGTACTCTCGTCCAACAAAGGGTCGTTGTCCCAAGCATCGTGGAGGCCCGCCCTTCCTCCCCACTCTTCGACAGTCTCGAGCTCGTTCAGCCCGTTGAACGCGTGCAGCGTGTTGTGTAAGGTGCAGCACGTGAAGAACAAGTTGTCGATGACGTTTTTGTCCTGGAAAAGGATTCGCAACTTCAGGATCCTGAAGCGGCCCTTCAAGATGCCGAAGAAGCACTCGACGTCTTTTCGGACACTCTCCAGCGCTTTGCTCCACTTGCTCTCCATGTCAGTCTGAGGGTAATTCGTAAGGGGAATGGGAATCCCCCACTAGATTAAAAGAGAAAACAAGGCATGGCGAAGGGCGTGCGAGGAATGCGGGCGTGGCGGGCATGGTTAGCTGCAGCGCGGTAGAATATGAACAACACATGAACGCCCACACAAACGGGGGCACGTGCAAAAGAGAACCCTGACTCGCAACGCGGCGTAGCGGCAAGAGGAAGATGCGGCTCTCCGGGCGGGGACGGGGTGTTTGTGCTCTGTATGCCTCAGCCGTTGTATTGACCACGTGTCCTCGAGTGGCCGGAGCATTGTTCCCACAAAACCGATCGCCGATAGCCATTAGGGGGGGGGGGGAGAAGGCAATATTCACAGACATATACCAGCACCGGCACTTGTTAGACCATAGGAGGCACACGCACGGATCTCGACGGAACGGTTGGGGGTGCTCCTACCAAAACCCTTGACCCCTTCGACAACAGAAAACATCAGAATACAAGCTACAGTAGCCATTCGCACGGACGATTCGGGGCGACCTACGTCGGACGGGTGTTGCTGCTATGTCCGGAAAACAGCGGTTGACCAAACCGTGAAGATACCGTAACTTTCACCGTCCCACTCCAGAGGTGGGGTCTGCCACGCTGTTTGCCCGAGCAGACAGGAAAATTACACCAGGGGGACAGCGCCGCTGATATTTCAACACCAAACTTGATGGTCTTGTTTGATCTCAATGTGGTGTGTGTGGGGCGTCGGTTCTCGGGGGTGCCTCAGTAGCAACAGGTCGATGGCGGAGTAGCCTGAGCTTCCTTTCATCTTTTGTTTTTTGATGTGACGTTTCGCGGCGACTTCTTCCCCGCAAGGGTCAAAAGTTTACGGCGGAAAATCACGTCGAAAATTTCTCAAACGAAGCTCGGGCTACTCCACGACAGACCTGTTGCGATTGAGGCACCCCCCGAAAGATGGTCGACGCTGAAACTGATGCCTCTTGCAGCGAAAAACCTTTTGCACCCAACCTTTTTTTTTCCGACTTTTCTTTGCGATGGGAGGGCCAATACCGCCTACTGGCGGTATTTTACCGAGTAAACCCTTGAAAAAAAAAGAGAAGGCTCCACCCATACGAGGGAGGGGGGGGCACACGGAGGCTCCGCTGAGGCATTGACGTGCTATCTTGAAGAAGTCACGTGTTGTACATCAGCACACACATTGGGGGTGCCAAACTTGCTCCAAAGATTCAGCAGACGGTCCATAAAAATCGCAATTGTGAAACATGCCCACACCACGCTGGAAACGGCACGAGCCGGACAATCACAGAATTTATAAACCGCCCTCACCTTGTTGTACCCGTTGTCCATAATGCTGTAGTTTCCTTTGCGCTCGAAAGGTTGGCCGTTCTTGTCGAAGAGCGTGTACACCTTCTCCGTGTAGACAAGGTCACGGCGGATCTTCGCCACGCCGTGTCGTACCGGATGATGGTCTTGTCGTTCATGGCACCGGCGAAGCCCTTCGTAACGGCAAGGACACGTCCGGTGTCATCTACGATCGCCTGGTACGCGATACTCGGGAACCCTTCCTTCCCCGTGTACTGCCTTGCCCAAGAATGGGGGCAGCACGCCCACCGGATATAGGTGACGTCGGTTGACCCTATCGCTCCCGTGAACCCCAGGAGATCATACGTCTCCATCACCTGATAATGTTTATATCGATCCGGGACGACGTCGTGTGTTTGGTGGGGCACCAAACAATGCAATAACAACTTCGTCGTGGTAAGCAAAGCTTGCGCGCAGCTAAACCAACATGAGAATAATACGCATTGCGATAAACGTGCACGGCCGTGCGAGCGCATCGTTTGAGACCATTCATATTGCTTGCTAGGGGTCTGTGTTTTTCAATCTCGCGAGGATGATGGCCATTATCGTGGAGGTGTCCCGGGAGTTCGGGCTGAGGGTGTCGGAGAGGAAGACGGAGACCCTGGTGATGCGGGTGAAGGAGAAACAGCGACCGCCGCCGACGCCACCGCCGGCGCTGACCATCGAAGCAGCGGGGCAAAGGTACGCACAGACGACCGAGTTCCGATACCTGGGCGGCCTCATCAACGAGCAGGGCGACCTCACCCGAGAGATCAACCACAGGAGCAAAGCAGCGTGGGCGTGCATTAGGCGATACGCCACGGAGCTCTTCGACCGACCGGGAGCACCGTTTCGCCTCAAGGCCCGCCTACTCCAGGCGGAGGCAGTGGCGGCACTGCTATACGGCTGCATGACATGGTCCCCACGCCGCGACCACTACCGGCTGCTGCAGACGACACACCACCGTCTGCTTCTGCGAGTCATCGGCTACCGGCGCAAACGAGGCACCTACCGGCAGCTGTCATACGCCCAGGCGCTGAAGAGGGTCGGCTGCCAGAGCGTGGAGGCCACTGTCCGTCAACGGCGCCTGCTCTTTGCGGGGGCCGTGGCAAGACAGCCAGACGGGCGGCTTCCGAAACGGCTGATGTTCGGCGAGTTGGTGGGAGGGGAGAACCCGGGCCGGGGAAGCCCGGAGCAGAACTGGCTGATATGCCTGAAGGACGACCTGAAGATGTTCGAAGCCAGACACGGCTCCACGCCCGACAAGCGGAGCTTCTTCGGAATCCCGAAGCCAGACTGGGACGAGGCGGCGAAGGTGGAGGGGGGGGTACCGTGGCACGCGGGGGTGCTACAGGGAGCTGAGAGGTTTATGGCCTCTTGGCACAAGGGCGAGGAGAAGGCCAGCCGACAACGAGCCATCAAACGAGGAGATAGCGGGCCCAAAAATAGTGTAGATACGGCACCAATCAACGGGGCGGGAGCGGGGCGGGGGGAAACGGCGCGGGAAGAAAGCAAGCGAGAAGAGACCGACCGCGTGACGTGACATGTTGCGGTTGAATTTCAGCGACTAGTTTTTCTGTTGCCCTCTCCCCCGTTTGCTGTCGCGTTCAGACTGTCTCTACGGATATCCCTGTCTCTGTGCGAGTTTGTTTATGTCCTCGTCTGTCATTGGTTTATTTCGTTTTATTTTGTTTGTTTTTTTACTGGCACGTACTGCTGACCCTTGGGATCCTTCCGGAAGGCTACCCCCCAGGCTGGTGGTGCGCACGTTCCACTATGTATTTATTTTTTTGTTTCTGATTCTTTTGTTTTCTTGTATTTTATCGCTCTGCTAACCCTTGGGGTCCATTTTATTTTGGTATACCTTTTCTAGGTACGTTAGCCTGTGATCACGGAAATTGACCGAGTCAAGTGCTGGATTAGTACGGAGAGTTTGAGACAGAAGGAGGTACTGGGGAGAGAGACCGGGATGGTTTTTAATGTGAAGACAACAACAACAACAACAACAACAACAACAACAACACTGTGACTTTCAATCAAACACGCTATAACCGAACACGCGGGACGCATACATACGCAAGTTTTTTGAGTGTAGACAGGATGGACGAATCAATATTGACCGCCGCCTGTCAAGAGAATACACAGAAAACATGTTTATTTTTGTTTCTGTTTNCTGTGACTTTCAATCAAACACGCTATAACCGAACACGCGGGACGCATACATACGCAAGTTTTTTGAGTGTAGACAGGATGGACGAATCAATATTGACCGCCGCCTGTCAAGAGAATACACAGAAAACATGTTTATTTTTGTTTCTGTTTTCGTCCTATTTATTATGGCGACAGTCCCTCCATTCTTCGTGGTGAGACGTGTACTGCACTTTTCAGCGCATGTAACTAGAGTACTACACTTTTCAGTGTATTCTTTCGTACAACTACAACCATCCAGGGTCACACCGGGGTAAACCCCAGGGCTTATTTATTCCATGCATTTTGTCAAAATGCCCCACCTTCCTCCTGCGTTGCGTGCTGACTTTTTTTTCTATCGCGAGAAGGACCAGCCGTCCCTTCCCTCGTCAACTGGGCTAACGTCGAAGTTGGCACTCACGAGAGCTTTTCAGCTATATTTCCCGTTCACCCACAAACTTTAATTTTTTTTCACCCCATGGGGAGTCGAAGTCAAGACCTCTGCGACAAGCGGTTTACGAGGATACCACTAAACCACCGGGGCGACCGGTTGCGCAAGGAAATACGGGCGGAATGGTCTTCAACGGATACAGCGGAAAGCAAGTGTGGTCGCACGAAGAAAAAAAGTGCGGCAGACATTTCATGATGTGTAGGTTACCTTCTCCTGGTCCTTGCCAGGGAGCATCGACACGTGGTCGTGGTAAAACTCCTGGGCGAACAGCTTCGTGAACTTGTGAAAGCTAGCCTGTATAACGCCCTCGCTCATGTGTGAAGCCTGACTCATGTCCTCGAAGAAGTTTCCCCTACCCAAGATGTCCAGGGATGACAAGACCTGTGCACATAGACGTCGTGCGCGGTGTACGGTCGGCGGGAATTGATCGTCGGTTGTCAGGTTATTCGCGGCGCTGCATTTTCGACTTTTTAAAGAACATGGCATACCGGAAGGGGCATGAGCAACACAGCAATATCTTCCTGCAGCAGCAGCCCTGGCGATAGACGTGGAAAATGGCATGAGGGGGTTTGGCGAGAATAAAATCTACCTGCAGCAGCTTCAATAGGTGTACACCACGTTTTTCTCATCTTTGGCACAAGCCCTACTGTCCACGGTACGACTTTGTGCTGCTGCACACTTCGTTCATGGATGTAGACTACGTGTAGACCATACTTACGTTGCCCTTGCTCTCCTACGACACCCAGTCGCGCCCCTCTGTATTTCACATACTACGTGCGTGCGTGTGTAGACCATACATTGTCCTTGTTCTCAGTGTGCACACAAATATGCATAGACTTTAGTCTAATAGTCTAGATGGATGCATGCATGCCAGTTTTGGAATCGGCATGTCTCAATAATACATCACCTTCAGCTCGACTGGGATGCACATGCGCCCGGCCACATCTTTTTTGCGCATGGGGAATCGCTTCTTCTTCTTGACCAGCTCCATAAGCTCGGTTAAGAACTGGTAGGGGATGCGGAAGCGCCCCCGAAAAAGCTTGACCTCTCTTGACGCTGGTTCCTTGAGGCCCGTCTCGCCCAGCATGCGCCACCAAAACGAGGCGCGGTAGTCTGGCCGTGGAAGAACTCGGCGGGTACGCTTCACGGGGGAGCCACCGCCAAGGCCTTCGTCCTCCAACTCGTCGCCATCTGGGAAGGACCGCAGGACAACTCGCCAGGTCGCCACGGTAAGCACAGCGCGTTGCCGCTCGCGACGTCTCCGCTTCGCTGCTGCAACAAGAACAAGTAGGTGGGCATGTCGTTCGTCGTCGCTGCCGCTGTCGCCGGCCGCACTCGCGTGCTCCATCGCCCACCCGGTCCAGTCTGTGCTGGGTGCTGGAAAGCTCGTGCACACACACGCCACGCTCGGGTGCCGCTCGGGATGGGTACGGTGTGACCCCGCAATTTCGGTGTGTTTGATCAAAACGAACAATCCGTCGGCAACATCCGGGCCCGATTCCCATACGAAATATATGCCCAACTATCGTTGGGCCTCGGCGCAGATGTTCCGAACGATTTTTTTTTACCCTAAACCCGCCGCATCCGTGCCCATATGATGGACATGCCACGAAAAATGAAAAAAAAATCCGTTCCGTGGCCAACTTTCGGGAGCCAATAGAGTCAGCCTTACCTCCTGTTTTCTACCGGTACCCGCTGCAGTAGTAGTGGTCGGTGTAACGGGTCAGAAACCCTCCTTCCTTCTTAGCTCCTGTGGCACGTGTGCCTCCAGTCCGCCAGAGCAGGAAAATGACAAGCGGGGGCGGGCGGCCGCTCCGACTTCTGAATGGAAGCGGGAGGTACAGACAGTTTGGTCACCACATTTTTTTCTCTGCTCGATAGGTGCGATGCAGCGCCACAGGTTAGCCAATCAGTCACAGGCACCAGGGGTCGCGTCACCGCAACAACCAATCACCACCTTGCGTTGCCCACGACTGTAGAGCCAGTTACTACCGTAGTCCTCGGGAAAATTCCCGAGTTTTTTTTCCCGTGGTGTAGGTCGGTCCCGGTACTCCGCGGGAATACCGTCATGTTTCGCAATACGGTGAACCGCCAAAAGTGGTACCGTAAAAAAAACGAAGTACCGTCAATCATCAAAAAAGTCATATGGCAAAACCGCCGAAAACATACCGTCAAATAACGGAGTGCCGTCAATCGCCAAAAGTGGTACGGTCATATTGCGATAGCGTCAAAAAAGTACCGTAACAACAACGAAGTACCGTCAACCACCAAAAACGTGCCGTCACACTACTACAACAACAACAACTGCGATACCGTCAAAAAGTACCGAGAGCAGTCCGCCAACATCATTTGCTGGTCATCTGTTGATTTGTTGACGTGTCAAGAGAGGAACTGCAGTTGAACTACCCTGTGTTTTTTTTCTTTTTTTTATTTCTGGCTATTCTTTTTTCTTTTCTTTTTCTTTTTGTCTTCGTTTGGTTCCATAGTACCTTCTTCCCCTCGCTGCCTCGGGAAGGTTTTGCGTAGGCATGACCCATAGCGAGGGGGGGGTCTTTCTAGCGAGCAGGGCTAGAGACTCACCCTCAAGGGACCGATACCTTCTTGCTGCGGCGCACCCGCCGCGAGGCGTGCGTAGCGGTGAAGTTGGGTCGGCACTGGTGCGTCAGGTACAAAGGTGCAGATGCGCGAGCCTCCAGGCCGTCGGTGTATGCAGCAATGCCCATCTCATCTTTGTGCGCGGAGGCAGACTTCATCAGAAAGGTGGACGGGCACTATGTACACGGCCCTAGGTTTGCTAAAGGGAGCTGTACTGTCTCAGTAACCTGGTATTGCCATCAAAAAGGAGGGGACAGGTGGTGACGAGCTGATTGGGCTGGTTGACCCTTCGGCGCGAGAATTTTCAGACCAAGAACCCTAAGTGCAACAAGGGAGAAAGCGAGGAACTGACTGGCAAGGACAGCAACGAGAGCGTGTACGAAGTGGAGCGGGTCGAGTTTGGTCGTGCTAGGACTGGCCACAGCGGCACCGCAGCAGCGGCACCGGATCAGCGGCACCGGAGCAGCGGAACCGGAGCATGCGGGCGGCATCGAACCTTGGCGCACGGACGAACATCTCTTCTTGTGTTGTCAATTGTTTTCCGTTTTTTTCCTGAATATTGGTGTTGAGCGTGTGTGATGACGTCGAGACTGGTTTTGTAGAGAGATGCGGCAGAGATGGCGCGGATAACCCGGGTGCCTTAATTGTGTACCTGCATCGTGGAAGACCCCTTCAATGTGGAACAATTCCTAGTCAGTGTCGATGTTTACACTGCTGTGCCAAACACAGATGATCTGGATAGATTCGGGTGATTGTCAATTGCAATGATGGCTTTGGTTGGGTGTTCTTCTTCATTGTATGTCCACGGACTCATTCTGACAGCACTTCAGACAGCAGCTGCATGCCCCGAGCTTGTGTACCATGCACCATGGTGTTACTACTGTACAGACAGCACGTCAGACAGCAGTACGCTGTAGTCGATAAACATTCAATTTGGTTAAATGCGGGACAAGGGGGGTGGTGCTGCTGCTGTAGTCGAGTTGAAGTGTGTGGGCGTGTAGTTCAGTTGTGAGCACGCAAACGTGCTGCAGGGATTGTGTGCCTCCTCAGGCTTGTGTACCTTGTTCTTGCTATTAGTGTGTGTGTTCTTTAGATCTTCTGATGGCTCTAGCATTTTTGTGACCACGGACCGAGTCTTTGCTAGATTTTGGGATTAGCAACTGACACGAGTTTAATGTGAAGAAAAACAACAACAACAACAACAACAATCGGGCTGGTTTGTTGCTTTTCGGTATAACCTGTTTTCTGCTTGTGCCACCACGGGTGTCCGCGTCAGGGTTCGTCCCGATCGGGACATGGACACCGCCGGCGGCTGACCCACGGCGCTTCCCGCCCCTCCCGCCCCTCTCCCACCACGGCTAGGACTGCCGACCCTCTGCCCACGTCCCCCCATTCCCTCGCGGCGGCCGCCAACATTAACATTACCACGCCCTTCCCCGCCCCCGGCCGCCGTTCGGTTGACGTTCCCTCGCCGCCTGCTCTGCCCTCCTCGCGACTCGTCTCTCTTCCCGCGCCACGGCCTTACCGTCTTAGCGGCCTCGGCAGCCTGCAGTTCGCGTTCTTTTTCCTCTTGCCTCGCCATCCACTCTTCATCAGTGAGGAGTCCTCCGTCTGGAATGCCCAAATTCGCCCGCGTTGGCGTTTTTTTCTTGGGGCGGTTGTTGGGCAGGTAAGGGCCGAGAAGCACCGTGCTCACGCGAATTCCCGGGATGGTGTGGCCTTCTGCCCGGGCCTTGTGGACGCCGCGCTCGCCCAGCAGCTCCTCCAGCTGTTCGTTGCTCACGACGATGGGGACGTCCTGCAGGGAAGGGCGGTCGGCTTCCCGCGCCTTCCTCTTCGGGCGCTGCAGCAGGGTGAGTGCCCGTTCCTTGTCCACCGGCCACAGGCCCGCTCCGGCGAAGGAAGCTTGGTTGATTTCCGGCGTAAAGCTCGTGCTCCAGGCTTGCCCGATCAAGCCGGCCTTGTCCCGCTTCCGCGGCAATGCCCCTCCGTGTTTCGACGGGAAGGCCGCGATCGCTGTGGCCACCTCCTTCTTGAAACAGCCGAAGCCAGCGACGTCCAAGGGCAGGGTGACGTGCGACATGTGGGAGGGCAGCTGGACGAGGTGGATGTTGAGGGACTTCGCCAACTGGATGACTTCAAAGCTCACGTGCGACGCGTGACCATCCAGCACGAGCACGTGGGGTTTTCCGTCGAGCAAGTCACGCCGGCCGAGCTTCTCGTGGAAGTTCTTGATGAACTTGATGAAGACGTCACCGCACATGAAGGACGATTCCGTGCAGGTGTACGTCGCACCCGGCGGACCCTTCCTATCCGCGATCCAATCTCCGTTGAAACGTTGCCCTTTTGAAGATGATGGCCGGGTCCAGCACGGCGCCGGCGGCGTTGATGGTGGTGACGATCGTGCAGTTTTCTCGCGAGTTGGCACGCATGTATCTGGGGGACCACCGGCTGCCCCTTTTTCGCGAAGACACGCCCTCCCTGCGTGCCTTGAATGGTACCACCTACAACAATAATTTGGGGCGATCAAAAGCGCGCTTGGGGGGGTGAAAGCGGAGGACAGTAAGTACAGGCTGAGCTGCGCTCACACGCACCCACCAACGTCCAGCCCACCGTGGGGACGGCGGGGGGGGAGGGGGATAGGGGAAAGGCCGGTGCGGGGGTGCATGTACCGTAGGTTGCATAAGATACCACACCCGTGTGATAACATTTTCGGGGGGACAATCCATCACGTACATGCTTTCCCACGTGCATTTTCGCAGTATCCTTTGGAAGTTCTTCGCATACGTACACAATGAAGTCGTAGTACCGATACCTCATAGCGGTTGTGCCGGTGTTGCGTGCGACAAAACGACAGCACACAGGGACCTGGACGACGCAACCACTTGCAAGACTTGCGTTCACCACTCAAGCTGGAACCACACAAGACGCAAGCAAGTGCCGGCTACATATCAACCNACAAGACTCAGTCTATGCAAACAACGTCCGCCCCCGGCAAGTCTGCCATGACCTCAACCTCCGAGTCATCGTTGCCTTCGCCATCTCCAGAGCTGTCATCGTCGTCGATTTCCAACACCTCCAACAAGTCGGCCATCGTCTCCCCCTCCTCCGATGGGCCAGCCTCCTCCACGCCGGCAGCGGCCGCGTCGCCGTCTGCACGAAGTGGTTTCCCTTGGGCGTCGGAGTTGAGCTCCTTGTTGGCCCACGCCTCGTCCTCAGATCCATCGAAGGCAAGGGTCATGCCAGCCTTCCTCCAGCTCGAACGAATGCTCCCAGGGTCCACTTCATCTCACGCTTTCTTCACCCACTGCGCGAGCAATCCCCTCGATGGGGGATCCGGGTAGCCGCGGTCGTTGCGCACGGCGTCGGTGGAGGCCATGTGGTTGTCGTACAGCCTGGACATGTTGGACTTGAACAGCTTGTTGATAAGTCCGTCGCAAGGCTGGATCTTGGGCGTTAGGCCTCCGGGGACGAAAAACAGCGTCGTGTTGGACTTGCCCATCGCTTCCTTGCACATGGCTGTCTTGTGCACGGTGTAATCGTCCCACGATAGCAGCGTGTCCGGCTGACGGTAGTTGCCCAGGACCCCATCGCGACCCGGGCGCCGTTTCCACACTTGGGCGAGCCAAACATCCCTGAAGACGCGCTGCGTGTGCCACGCCTTGTCCACGGCGTACACAACGCTCTGAGGGTATGCTATCCCCTTCTTGTCCTTGCCCACCTTGAACTCTCGTTCGATGCTGTTGGCAGCGAGGGTTTTACTCCACGCCGTAGGCTCACCCTTACAGTTGAGCAGCGGCGGGAGTTTGCCGCCCTTCATGTTTGCTGCAAGCACGGCAGTGATCCGCAACTTTTCCTTTCCACCGGTTTTGATGGCCACCTCTTTCTGACCGGTGTGCTGCGAACGACAAAAATAAAAAGCAAGAAGCAATAGAGAAAGCAGAGGCGACGAAAAAAGTCGATTTTGTAGATGAGAATGACAGCTCTTCACGCACAAAGTGACGTACAGGTTTTGCAGTACAGTGATGATGGAAGCGAAGGGTAAGAAAATTGTAACCCGGCATAAGTCTAAGCACAATACCAACGTCGTCTAGCCTTACTGCCTGGACACTGAGTAGGTATGCGGCAAGAAATATGGCATCACAATGCCCACTGTTTGCACGGAATGCGAAGAAACGACCAGACAGGCACATGATTCGAAGCAACACTTTTTGAACTCACCGCCACGGTCGACGTGCCACCGGGCTCCATCCACACAGCAGTTTCATCCACGCTGTAGCTCTGCTCCTCCTTGAACAACAGAGGTGGCCTCGAAGGCGCACTGCTCGTTGCACCGTCGATTCCTCTGTGACGAAGCGCCCTCCATTCCTTGACGGCTTTCATGGCAATCGCAGGCCACCCGGAAGGGAGTTTCTGGCCTTGCCTGGTAACCGCCCGGAATGACAACCGGTTCTTCTTAAGGAACCTCCTGCACCAGTGAGTCTGCTTGTTGCGGTACTTTCTACTGCGCTCCAGGTCGCTCGTTGCAGACCTCGGGCCGAACCAAAGCGAGTTGAGCGATACCGCCATGTTCTTGATCATCCTTGTAGAGACGCGGGCAGAGATGGCTTCCGAACGAACATCGTTGATCCAGTCGAGAAGTTCGAGCTCGGCCTCAGCGTTTGACCTTACCCTCCCCGTGTTAAACGACTTCACGCTGCGGGCTTTTTTCTTGCCTTTGGCCCCGAGCTGGTCTGCCTGTCCCAGCTGCTTCTCGTACTTGTTCTGTCNATCGCAGGCCACCCGGAAGGGAGTTTCTGGCCTTGCCTGGTAACCGCCCGGAATGACAACCGGTTCTTCTTAAGGAACCTCCTGCACCAGTGAGTCTGCTTGTTGCGGTACTTTCTACTGCGCTCCAGGTCGCTCGTTGCAGACCTCGGGCCGAACCAAAGCGAGTTGAGCGATACCGCCTTGTTCTTGATCATCCTTGTAGAGACGCGGGCAGAGATGGCTTCCGAACGAACATCGTTGATCCAGTCGAGAAGTTCGAGCTCGGCCTCAGCGTTTGACCTTACCCTCCCCGTGTTAAACGACTTCACGCTGCGGGCTTTTTTCTTGCCTTTGGCCCCGAGCTGGTCTGCCTGTCCCAGCTGCTTCTCGTACTTGTTCTGTCTTTTATCCACGCAGAGAGTGTGATCTTCTCGGGAATCCCAAGCACTCGTTGCGCATACGACATACCGATGGTTCCATTAGGCCCCTGCGCCCCCGGGCTTTGCATGGTCGCGCTTAATGGTGTTTACTTTGAATTCCAAATCGTACCGCTTGCGTTTCTGGCCACCACCAAACCTAATGGGGAAGTTTGGTGGCTCCAATTCCAGCGGCTCTCTTTTCCTCTTGCCCTTGCCCTTGCCCTCGGCCGGCGTGCCGTCGAGATGCCCACCGAAACTATCTGTCCACTCCTCTGACTCTCCAGGAAACATGGTGTCGCCGACGGGCGCCGCTGCGGCTGCTGTCGTCGGTGCTTTAGGCAGGTGCACGTTCCTGAAAAGCGCATGAGTTCGAGGAAGCAACAAAGCATGTAGCATACGTGTCATGAAGTGCAGTGTCTGTAACAATGCGCTCGCTCCAACGACCATCAGACAAACGTACCAAAAATACGATGGCTAGCGGATAGCTCTGACAACGGCCACCAGGTTGAGAGTCATGGCGTCCACGCTTGCAAGGTACAGAGGGTGAGCAGCTGACGGCACCTATTTCGTATCTCACACAAACAGGCACGAACTGCTGTCGAGGTTATGTTTACATATTTNAAACATGGTGTCGCCGACGGGCGCCGCTGCGGCTGCTGTCGTCGGTGCTTTAGGCAG